TATTCATTCAACAAATATTTGCTTAAAATGTGCTAGATGCTGGCTGGGAGCTGAGAAGGTAGAACGGGTGACTAAGTTAAGCGTGAATATCTGCCGTCAAGTGACTTCTAGGCTAGTCAGCCAGATCTTAGCAAGGCAGGCTGTAGAGTGGCCTCGTGCCCCCTAAATGATGGGGTCTAGAATTAGCTTCTCTATCCCAGCTCAGTATCTGGAATGTTCTAGATGAGCCATGAGACCCTCTTATCAATTAAACTGCATCTTTCTCCTACTTCCTCATGCTTCTGATTCATACTTCTGGGTTTCTGTTTTGGTCAAACTACAACCCATCATAAGCCCTAATTCATGTGACTGGGACCTGACGTCCTAAAGATTAAATCCCAATTCTCTTTTACTCCTAGAAAATCCGGGACCTTGCTTGCTGTAATAGTTTTGTATTGCTATGTAAGAAATTAACACAAATTTAGAGACTTAAAACAACACGTTTACTATCTCACAGTTTATGTGGGTCAGGATTCCAGGCACAGCTCAGCTGGGTGCTCTGCTCAATGCCATAGTCAAGGTGATTCTCACCCCTAGCTCAAGGTTCTTTTCTAAGCACATTCAAGTTACTGGAGGAATTCATTCTCTTGTGGTTGTAGGAATGGTGCCCCAGCTCCCTCTCCATAGGCAGTTCACAGCATGGCTCTTTGCTTCTTTAAGGCCCGAAGAAGAGAGAGAGTTTCTGAGTCTCTGAGGTCAGGGAAGTCCTAAGCCCTCTTAAAAAGTTCAGCTTATTAGATCAGAGCCACCCAGAATAATTTCCTTTTATTAACCCAAAGTCAACTGATAACCAGAAAACCAAACCCGTTGTTGTTGAGTCGATTCTGACTCATAGCGACCCTATAGGACAGAGTAGAACTGCCCTATAGGGTTTCCAAGGCTGTAAACTTTATGGAAGCAGACTGCCACATCTTTCTCCCATGGAGTGGCTGGTGGGTCCAAGCTGCCAACCTTTCAGTTAGCAGCTGAGCACTTAACCGCTGCACCACCAGAGCTTCTCCAACTGATTAGGGACCTTAATTATATCTGCAAAATCCCTTTACCTTTACTGTGTAGCTTGAAATAATCATGGAAGTAATGTCTCATACTCAAGGGGAGGTGTTTCTACAAGGGCATGGGTAATTGGGAGTCAGTTATCTTAGAATTCTGCTTACCTCACTTGTCTCGTGGTGAAATCTCTTGCATCTTCTAGCTGCCAACAAGACATTCTCTTCTTAGTCTCTTCATGCCTTTTATGGTTCCTTCTACATTCTCTTCCTCCATTCCATAAATGTTGAGGTTCCTCAGAACTTCCCATCAACTATTTAACCTGCTTCTTGACTCTGTACCGATTGTTTTCCTCTAGCTGAGGATGAATTCCCTTGTTCTGATAAAACTTAAGGGCAGGTTCTTTTTCCTCTAATCACTTGTGAAAGAACTCAAACTCATCAGATAATAAGTAAAATAAAAGCAGCCTATAATGCTACTTCCTGCCATCCTGGGACCCCGCTAGGGAGAAAGGGGGGAGGACTGCTAGCCCAGAGTAGCTGATGGGTTACAGCTGCCACCATTCAAGGTCAGGTAGTCTGTGTGTGGATGGTGGAGAGACCCTGAGGATGGTTGGGAAAATCTTATCAGATTGGGGGCAGGCAGTTGTGTCTGTGAGTTCTAGCTGGAGAAGCATCAGTGGCATGGAGGTATGTTATCTTGTTATCCCAGGGTACCTTAGAAGAATACGGTTGTTGTCATGGCTTTTAATGAGAGGACCAGACATGCATGGGCTGTGACAACTATGTGGTATCAACCCATCAGGGCTTTCAAATTGTATTGCTGAAAACAAATGCATCCTTACAATTGAAGTGTAGCATTTTCACTTAAATTCAATCTTCTGCCCTATAACAAAGTTGGGTATCTTGCATATAATTTAAGGCCTTCAGTCTTCAACTAATTTAGGATAGCTTGGTGGATTTTGTATGGAGGGAGCAGTTCCTTTTCCTCTTTCTGAAATGCTCTTCATTCTCTGCTTTTATCTGGTTGGCTTATCCATTAAAACCCAGCATGGGGAGAGGCAGGACGGAGCTTAGACATTACCTCCCTGCTAAAGCTTTTCCATTTCTAGAAACCTGCTCCCAATATCCATCCTTAAGAAAGGGTTAATCCTTTTATTCTTTTCTACTTGGGTTGTGGGTCTTTCAATCAATTATACCTGTCATAATGTGTTATAATTTATTTATTTACATGTCTGTCTACCCTACCAGTGAGATGCTGCTATTGTTGTTACATGCCATCTAGTTGGGTCCAAAGTGTAGAGACCCCATGTAAAACAGAACAAAACACTGTGCGGTCCTGCTCCATCCTCACAGTCATTGCTATGCTTGAGCCCATGGCTGCATCTACTGTGTCAGCCCACCTTGTGGAGGGTCTTCCTCTTTCTCGTTGACCCTCTACTTTACCAAGCATGATGTCCTTCTCCAGGAACTGGTTCCTCCTGATACCATGTCCGAAGTGCTTGAGATGAAGTCTCGCCATCCTCGCTTCTGAGGACTGAGGTACACCTGACCCAAGGTGTGGTATTTTGAGTCACCTTGTGTGCATATGAAAGTGAGGTTCTAGGCAATAGAACCTGATTTATTCATTTTTGTAACTATAGTGCCTGATATATGGCAAATGCTCAATAAATGTTTTGAATAAGTAAATGAAACAATCATTAAACCAAAACCACCAAACCCGTTGCTGTTGAGTTGATTCCAACTAATAGCGACCCTATAGGACAGAATAGAACCGCCAAGGCTATAATCTTTATGGACGCTGACTGCCACATCTTTTCTCCTTCAGAGCTGCTGATGGGTTCGAATCACCGACCTTTCAGTTAGCAGCCAAGCACTTAACCACTGTACCATTGAACTGTCCGAAATGACAATATTTCCACCCACCTGATTTCAGGTGACCAGATCTGATTCTCTTACAAACATTGACCCTGATGAAACCTATGTTTACTTTGCTCCATGGTTATATGTTTGGATGCTGGCCACCTTTCCTGTAGCTAGTTTTGTTACTCTGGTGTAGAGTTCTCTGCTCCTCTTTTTCCCCCCATTGACCAGCATGTTTTAAAGTCATAAGACCAGTCTTCCAAAAAGGTGTTATCACTGGGGCAAAGAAAACCTTTTTGTTTTGAAGTCACTCCAGAGGATATGGGACAAAGCAAAGTGCCTGGCATAGGATGCAACAAAGCAGATGTAACGGAGCTAAATCAGAATATCTTCAGATTATTATCTCCACTGAAGAACCATGTGTGACTTTATTGTTGAAAAACAGTATTAAAGATGGTGAAGTAGCATCATCAGAAATACGGCCTTTGGAGCACATAGCTTCCACATTAGAAATGTACTTTTCATATACGAGAATTCAGTCTGTGAAATATGGATGGCTGTAGCATAGGAGTATAGAATTAAGTGAGTTTTATATAGATAACAGTTTCAGAAATCTCTATGTAGTTCTTCTTCTGGAATATGGGCAGAAATTAGTTTCGTAGTTTTCTCAGTGGTCAACAGTTTTCTCTTGGTACCTTGTCAGAAGATATTTAATTGACCACAATTAACTAAAAGTTTTGGTTTAAAAAAGAATCTTTTATGGACAGAAAACAGAGTACCAGGAGGTGATTAATTTCTTATTATGCCAGAAATATGTTTTTCAGCAGACAGTTCTAAAACCAAGTGAAGGAAATTCAGTAAAAATTGGGACATGTGTGTAATTTTTTTAAAGGTTGTAAGGTATGTGAATATTACACATAATTTGCCAACTTCTTTTCTATTTTCATATTATTCTGATAAGAAAAGCTTATGCAGCCTGTATACTCCCATATGATTATGTTACTGGGAAATATAAATTCATGAAGATCAGTGTTTAAGGAACTGAATAGTAAGTCAATCCCTCTAATTTATCTTTTCCCAAAATACAGTGTTTTATCTCTTCCGTTATCTATAAGTCGGCACACTTGTAGGAAGAAATGGAGAAATGGGGGAAAGTTGACTATAGCAAGTAGTTTCATCCAGAAAATTTCAGGATTTTTAGTCTGAAAACTTCATGAGAAATCTTAAAATAGTCACTTAAAATCAAGTATGATTATAGTTAACATGTTATCAGTTGTTCTTAAGGCTCAGTCTTCTGATTCTGTTAAGTTTTAAAGTTCTTAAAGGAGGAATTTTAGAAGTGTACTACTCCCAGTTAAACACTGAAGGTACCATAATGGTAGAAACCCATATGGAATAATAGAGTTAGTTTAGGTTTTTCTTAGAGATACTGTAATGATCAATTGTTATAACGGATACTCTTCATACAAATCTAAATTATTACTTTTGTTTTTGTTATGGTTTTTTTTTTCCTTTTATTTTAGTTATTAGTTGCAGCTTATTGTTTTAGATCCTTACCACCAAAGTGGTTCTTTACTCCCTTATTCTCTATTTTACGTTATTTTTTTCCTGAAAAGTATTCTGCAATTCCGTTAAAGCATTTTGTTTTCTTCTCTAACACGGATTTACCCAAATCGATAATTCATATTGAGAAATACGTTTAGATTCTCAGCTACATGGAGTAATCGATAACTGATGGCATCACCCGTGAGGAGACTGTGAAGTTTCCTTGTAGACTAGGCTTTTCGTCATGACTTTGCACAGCATTATTCCAGCTAAATCAACAAATTGTTATAGTTACTAGAAGTTATTATGCTATGAATAGTGCCTTAAAGTCTCAGTAATGGAGTGAAATTTATTGGATTGTTTTTTTTTTAAGCTGCTGTGTTTAAATGGTGCTGTAATATACCTAGTCCACCGAATCCACATACAGTGAATATTTGACATAGTTAATAAAAGGTTTTGTTAGCCTTCTTTATATTGAACATTTGAGCAGTATACCATTCTGTTGTGCTTTAGGATTTGAATTGATTATGTAGAAGAATATTTACTACCTTCTTTGTTTCATTTCAGAACGACCCTATTTGAAAATGTATGAAGCTATTTATAATCGACTCTGTGGCAGTGATTAAAGAGGTGTGAATAATAGGTTGTTGGAAGTTGACAGCTTCTGGTTTGCTAAACCAGTGTTAGAACATTTATACTGTTCGGATGTACCTTATTTTTCTAAGGTGGGAATTTCTGTTCTGACATGTAGATTGTTGGTCTAGGTATATGCCATGGGTTTTTCACTTTAAAATAGTTTACCGAATCTTAGTATTTTATTGATTTATTTTGCATTTTAAACCTTCAGCCTAATAAGTCAGCCATCAGTGTAGACAGAGGATTGGTCTTTAAGCCCAGGCTTGGCCTTCTCCCTTAAGCTCTCCTGTAAGATAAATGCAGTCAAGATTTTATTTTAATAGGAATGAAACCTTTTTCTTACAGAAAATTTGAAAACATTTGGTAGATTGCTGCTGTGGGAGGAATGTCAGTACTCCTGAAGGAATATGGAATAGCACAACATCCAAAAAGGAAGGATGTACACTTTGTATTTCAGTAAACCTTTATTAGTTTTAAATACAAAAACCAGAAGAGCATGTATTTGAATTAATCAAATTTAGATTAGATCATGTTTTTATTTAAGAAAGAAAGGAAGTCTAGAGAAATCGTTTAAAATTTTGAGTAATTTTGAGTAAACCAGTAATTTATCAGGAGGAATCAGTCCCTGAAGAAGGACGTCATGCTTGGTAAATAGAGAGTCAGCAAAGGAGAGGAAGACGCTCAACAAGATGGATTGACCCAGTGGCTGCAGCAGTCGGCTGAGGCACAACAAGGATTGTGAGGATGGCGCAGGACCAGGCAGTGTTTCATTCTGTTGTACATAGGGTTGCTATGAGTCAGAACCAACTCAATGGCACCTAACAACAAAAAATAATTTATCTAATGAGTTTTCAATTTTTTTGTTCTTATGGATTCAAAGCAATTTATCAGTTCGTAGCACTCTTAAAGTACTCTCAAGATTTACTAAAATGCATTTTAATATTACAACTCAGGTTCCCTTGCCAGCCAGAGGTGGTGTTTCCAAAAAGAATATGGTTTAAAAATGCGGCAGAGAAAGGTCTACTAGAAAACAAACATTAGGGAAATAAAACAAAAAGTTACTATATATGTATTCCACAATAAGTCTGAGAAACTCTTTAATCTAGAAAAGAAGAAGTTCCAAAATAAACCACATTTCTCGCAGGACCAACCTGCTCTCCTAAGTTATTCGTCACCTAAACCACTTTCCTCGGTTGTAATCTGTAGAGTGTCTCCCGCAAATTTTGTTTTATGTAAATTGAACCCATTTTTAAAGTTTTAAAGCTGTCTGAATTGAAACTTTCTTTTTCACTTGATTTTTCCCTTGTTTCTTTTTCGCAAGTCTGAAAAGTTACTTGTGTCACCTGGGTTCTACCACATATTTTGATGGTACATCAGTACACGTTTTTCCAGATCTGGTCTATGGCCTTCTACCCATATATGGAGAAGCTGGAGTACAAATGTTTACCAGTGGATGGAATAATTGTTTTAAAGTTTCGAACAGAATTGTACATGCACACACATAAACATCCCATAGGTTTTGTGAAAATTAAATATAATAATATATTCAGAGCACCTAGCAAGAGTCTTGTGACTAGTGGCCCTCTTTATTCTGAGAGTACTTGGTACTTTGGAAGGAGCTCCAGAGACCTGTTTTTAACCCTTACTTCCCTCTTTACTCTGTGTGAATTTACCCGGTTTTTTTCAGGGCTTCGAACAGGTTTGTTCCAGTTCAAACCTCTGCTGAGAATTTGCATTTTCTAACAAGTTCCCAGACAATGCTAATACTGCTGGTTAGGGACCAATTCTAAGAACCACTAGTAGAGCAGTGGTTCTCAAAATTTATTATACATAAGAATCACCTGGGGATAATGTCAAAATGTAGATTTTGATTCAGTGTTATCTGTGGTGGAAATGCAAATTCTCAGCAGGGGTTCAAACCAGAACGAACCTGTTCGGAGCCCCGGTTTTCTTAACCTCACTAAGTTCCATATGCCTTTTCTTTAAAAAGAGTGATAATAATGCCACTTCTTCCAGCCTCGCAGTATTGTTCTAAAGATGTTTGGTTAAATTGCTTTGTAATTGCAAATTGCAATAGAGTTGTGCTGTTTGGTGATGTTGTTCTTGTCCTTCTCGTCAGTTTAAAGATTCAAGAGGAATTCAAAACACGTGACCTTGAGGAAACATCCCCCCCTCAACCGTCAGGTTGGCAGCTCTTCTTGGTTAAAAGACATTTGGGGAAAAACAAGACCATTTGGGGATCTCACTATGGATATTCATTGACTTCTAGTTCATTTTGAGGCATTTTTCTTGACAGTCTATAACTTCAGTCCAGAGTCTTTAAATCCCTAGGATGTTCTGAGTATAGAGTGGGTTTCACTTTATGGGCCTAGAATAGAGCAGTGCCCTCATGCCGCTGAGGTTTTCCAATTGAGGACATGATGTGAGCTAACTGTTCCTAGTGTACAGGTTAATCCCACCGTATCCTGTTTGTGAGTGACTGGATGGGTGCCTGGAAATTCTAGTGCCAGACTGTACACCTCCTCCCTTAACAATCACCTCACACAGGTGAGTCTCTTTGCTCAAAAAAGGAAGATTATTGTCTTAGTTACCTAGTGCTGCTGTGACAGAAATGCCACAAATGGGTGACTTTAAAGAACAGAAATTCACTTTCCAACATTTCTGGAGACTTAAAGTTTGCATTTAGGGCATTGGCTCTAGGGGAAGGCCCTTCTTTGTCTCTTTCCAGTAGCTGCTGGCAGTCCTTGATGTTCCTGAACTTGAAGATGCATCTAACTTCACAGTCACTTGAACCAGAACATCTGAGTTTACTTTTTTTCCTTAATTTCAACCACTGCAAATACAGTATAAAATTTTTCCCTTAGCTGTAGATTAATGTTACTTGGAAAATAAATTGCTACACACACACACACAATTTATATGGAAAATAAAGTAATTTATGAAAATATGTTAGCTTTGATTTAAATCATAAGCCTTTGTAGTTACAGAAACGTTTAGGATGAGCTTATATAACAAGACAAAACTCAAAACAGGCTTTGGAAGCTTGGATAATATAAAGTTTACCATTTATAAAAATTACTTCATTTAAATAGCAATTATTTTTATTTGCTTTTATTGAAGAAATAAATTCCTGTGGTCCAGCTTACAGTACACATACTGTTACGTGGAGTAAGAGTGAGTCTGTAATACCCCTATCAGGATTGCTGACTGCAGTACATCAAGTATTTCAGTTTTATATATCATTTTCTCTTCTCATCCTCAAAAACTAGATTTCAGAAAAAACTTTCTTTTTCCCAGAAGAATCTGTAGGGGTGTATGGTGGGGATGATGCCCAGTCCTAAGTTGGCATAGGGCTTGGGTGTATATACAAGCAGCTAATCTCTCACCTAGTTCCAGGTACGTGTTTTGGCTGTTGACCAGAGAAATACCTGGCCAGAAGCCCACGTGTCTCTCTTTTTATTCGCCTTCCTAAAAAAGTCGCCTTGCCGACCGGGGAGCATTGCCTGAAACTACACCGGAAATAAGGAGAAGCAGTGACTGCATTGTGAATCTCTGATTCCGTGGGCAGAGCAACAGCGGGAAGATGGAGCACTGTAGGCCAGCCCTAGCTGTCTGGCACCCCAAAGGGCTTCACAATTGTCTTAGGATGTGAGAATCTCAGAAATTAAAATAAATTCTTAAATAAGCAAAATCTATTCTAAAGGTTAGTTTTAACAAGCCTTTGAAAATTCCACTTGCTGCTTTTCGTAGAGTGTAAGGATTGTGAAAACAAAGTAAGAGGTGCTACAACTTTAAAAAGTTAAGAACCCTATAAAGCTGTACAGTCAATAAAGTCGCTCTATGAGCCTTGGGTAATACTAATTCATTCAAAACAAGTTTAATCATTTTATTGTTTATAGGTTTCATGTAGCTTTTAAGACATAGCTTTCAACCACATGAACAGAACGTTTTTGAAAACCATAAATTGCAAACCAAAAATTATGAACTATTAAGACCTATTTAGTATAACCAACAAGTAAAAGTCGGTCCTTAAATCCTGATTTGTAGATACGTGAAGTGAAGCACTAAGCATTAAATTGACTATTGAGTACCAAGTAGCTTATTATAAATACATAAGAACAGAAAAAGCAGAGACCCAGTGGGTATACACTTGGAAGGGAATACATTAAAATACGGAAGTTAATACGTATAATCGTATAGTGCCTGGCTTACATAAGACCTCAGTAAAAATTTGTTAATAAATATTCAGTTCAGTAAGTATCTTATTTAGCATCTTTATGCCTAGTAATGTATGTATAAGACATTTTATGGGTACTCATCAGTATTCTGGAGCCCTGGTGGCACAGTGGTTAAAAGTTTGGCTGCTAACCGAAAGGTTGTTAGTTCATATCCACCAGCCGCTCCTTGGAAACTTGATGGGGCAGTTCTACTCTGTCTTATAGGATCGCTATGAGTCGGAATCGACTCCACAGCAATGGGTTTGGTTTGGTTTTAGTTGATCGGTATTCTAGTTCCTGCCATTAGAAGTCAGATATTATGAGGAGTTAATAGAGATATAAAATGCTAAAAAGAGTTACATCAGTGATATATAGTAAGATGCTGATTAGCTGCCCCTCGAATATAGTTTAGACCAGCACTGTCCAATGGAACATTCCGCAGTGATAGAAATGTTCTTTATCTTTTCTAATAGCTACTAGTGTCATGTGATTGTTGAGCACTAGAGATGTGTCTAATGCAACTGAGAAACTGAGTTATATTTTTTATTTATAATTTTAATGTGAGTAGATACAGGTGACTAATGTCTAACTTACTAAACAGCATAGGTATAAACCCCAACAATTCTCCAACTTTTTGGTTTTTAGGATCCCTTTTACTCTCAGAAACAATTGAGGACCTCAAAGTACTTTTGATTATGTGGGTCATATCTATCAATATTCAAATTTAAAACTGAGAACATTTTACAATATAAATTAATTCATTTTTAGTAATAATAAAGTCATGACATTAAACATAAGTGACATTTGTATGAAAAAATAAATATTTTCAGAAAAGATTAGTGAGAAGAGTTCCGTTTTACATTTTTACAAATCTCTTCAATGTTTCGCTTAATAAAGGCAACCGGATTCTCATATCTGCTTTTCCATTCAATTAGTTGCCATGTGTTGTTTTGGATGAAGTGTATTAAAACCCAGCCTCATACAGATACATGGCTGGAATTAGCCTTTTAAGATAATATTGAATATTCTTTGATTATTACACCAGAACTCAGCAAGTGGCAGTTTCTTAAAAGTTTAGTTGCAATTTGGAATATGAAACCGTATCAGTGAACTTTCTGTAGTCGACTACATTAAAGTCCATTGGTCTGTCTCAACTTTGAGTGGACTTTTCACCCATGAATTTGTAACATCATGCATCAGTCACTTGGAAAATATTGGTTCACTGAGTTATGCAGATCTTTCAAATATCAACGCATTTCATTCGATCATATTAAAAAAATCACCAATATCATCACCAGTCTCTTAGAAAGGTCTTTAATATTGGGAAACTGTCAGACTCACAGTGACAGTGGTAATTTCCATTTGAAAACTCAAATTTTATCATTGGCAACAAATTTGGTCATTTGTTTTCCTTGAAGTGACAAGCCTCCTTCATTTATTTTTGAGACAATGTCTTGCAAATGCCCAACTATTAATAACCATAGTTTGTCAGTCTTCTTTCAAGTAAAACTGGTCTAGCATGAAAAAAAGCGAGTTCAGCTGGCAACTCAGGCATCTGTGTGAATGTTTTTCCACGAGACAACCGTCATACTTTGATATCCAGCAGAAGTGTTTTCTGTATACATCCCATTTTGTCACAGAGAATATTTTAAAAAGCATATACTAAAGAGTCAAGATTTAATAAAATATCCTTCATAAAGGACATTCTTAAGTGAAACCAACTTTTTTTTTTTTTTTAAAGTACCATGAATGAGTGGCAGTGAAGAATAGGACTGCTGGTCGACTTTGCTGCCACTGCCTTGATTCGTGCTAAGGCACCAGCAGTTGCACCCCGGGTTGTTTTGCATCATCATTGCAGATGTCAGCAGAGTTAAAAAAAAAAAAAGGCAAATATTGCCTTTGTGTTATTATAAAAATGACTTTGACCCTGCTGGTAGGGACAATAGGGAAGGAGAAAAATTGATGTTAGCTGGAATCAGTTGAGGAGGGCTTCATAATAGAGATCGGTAGAATTTGCATACTCTGCTTCTCCTTTACCTGCTTTTTCCTATAAAAATAAAGGTAAGCAGGAAAACATTTAATATGTTAAAAAAAACTGTGCCGCTATGTTTGTTTGTGTTTTACTTTCTGATCACTCATTGATTCAAGTATTTATTGACTATATACTTCACGTAAGTTGTTTTATTGTTGTGGAGCAGTGGGTAATGTACAACATTTATAATGATAACGGTCATGTTCATAAAAGCATCTACTGCTCCCACTGTTCATAGAGCACTTGCAATGTGCTAGCTACCATGTTTATGTGATTTAAAATGCTTTGATTTAACGTTCATGGACACCTCAGGGGTAGATCTTCTAGACAGTCCTCTGGATTTTGTTCTGTTGTTGCTTAGTTGCTGTTGTGGCGGTTCTGACTCATGGCAGCCCCGTGTGTGCAGAGCAGAACTGCTCCATAGGGTTTCCAAGGCTGTGAACTCTTGAAAGCAGATCACCAGCCCTGTTTTCTGAACGGGCTCTGGGTAGGTTAGAACTGCCAACCTTTTGGTTAGTATTCGAGCACATAACCATTTGCACCAAAATCTCTGAATTTTGTTCTAGGCTCACAGTTTTCTGTGTAACTAGACAAATTACTTAACCTCTTAGAGTTTCAGTTTTCTCAAGGGTAAAATATGAGATTGAGACTTACCTTCAGATCCTTTTCTGCTTTGAAATTCATTAACAAGTATTGCAGAGCAGAGTAATCCTTTACTGATACGTTATCAGAACACCCCACACTTTAATAGAAAGTCGTAAAAACAAGTACCAAATAATTAGCGTAAACGTTCAGAAACATTTTTATGTTTCTTTCACTTTACATTTTATTGATTAAATACATATTTTGTAGCACTTAATCCTTTATTGACACATTATCAGTACACTTCACACCTGACCAAAGCCCTAATGATAGGCATGTGAACGTACCGAAAG